CACTAATTTTGCAATACCCTAATGCTATTTTTTAGACTATTTATTGCATAATGTATGGTGATGCTTTTCTTGCGAGATAAAGTGGGTTTTATTCCTTAGTAATAGTGTTACAGTCAGCTAATACAAGATTTGAGACACTATCTGGCACATGCCGCAACCAGCAAGCGGTCCTACCACCAGATCTACCAATATTAGCTAGGAAATGAGCAACCCTATTTTGATTATGCTCAATCTTTAAGGGAACAAACCCACGCAAATTCAGGAGCTTCTTGATTTCCACTATAATATGTCCATAGGCGGAGCGATCGAGCGAATCATCTGTCAACGCAGCAATAGCAATGGAGCTGTCAGACTGTACCAATATAGGAACCTCCGACCACTGTATGCTAAGTGACATGCCTTCATGTATAGCACTAACTTCTGCCTCGAGGGCGTCTTGACAGTGGATCAATCCCTTGCCACCCCCAGTACTTTGTTCATAGGTCCGCCACTATTTTAACGGATATCCATCACTCATCTAACCAGTGTCGGAAATCCTTTGGGGTTGCTGACATTTGCTCATCCGTATCATCTACATTGTTTTCCAGATTTTTTTTATATCTTGCTACATACTTATAATTATTTCTTCAAGATAGACGGGTGTGGCAACGCGCTTTTCTACAAGCTAGTAAGACATATAAGTTCGCTACCACTGCCGATTTTTCTAGCGAAACAATGCATTTTTTTTCTGAAATCTGACCGAATGCTACAATAATACATCAGTCAGCAAATTAAGAAGAAAAAGATAACCACAGTTGACACTCTAGGAAAAAAGGAAGAAAAGTTCAAGAAAAGACTCACGAAGCCACGATGCATACTGTCACGAGCTCACCGTCGCTGGTGTCGTTGCCCTGTGGCCGATTAGCCCGGGAACTGGTAATTTTTAATTTGCTGCTGCCGTGCTGCGGTTGGTAGTAGGCCGGATCCACGCCGTGTCATGCCGTCTCCACCGAGGACGAGGTCCCGGTGAGCTCGCCCGATGTGGCGATCCCCCGATCGATCGGCGTCGATCCGCCAGACCACGACGGACGACAAACCGACCGCCCGAACAGATGCGTCTATTCACATTAGGGCTTCAGCACGGCACGTCATCCAGCAGAAAATCCCATGCGAAGAAGAAGCCAGTGTTCGTCCGTATACAGCCATCAGGCCCAAAGGCCCATGTGAAGAAGAAGCCAGCCGCTTGAACGCTCCACAATTCGATGTTTTTCGTGGGCTGCCGTGAATCTTTAATTCAGAAAATGTAATCTTGTATTTGAAAATTGTTAATCAAGCATTTGAAAAAATCTTAACTGTGTATAGAAAAAATATTGACCATGTATTTTAAAAATGTTAATCAAGCATTTGAAAAATCTTAGTAGTTGTGTACAGAAAAATTGATGATCACGTATGGAGAAAATGTTAATCTTGTATTTAAAAATTGTAATCAACCATTTGAAAAACAAATCTTAACTACGTATAGAAAAAAATGTTGATGATGTATTAAAAAATGTTAATCCTGTATTTTAAAAGTGTTAATCAAGTATTTGAAAATGTTAAATATGTATAGAAAGAATATGTATTCAAGAAATTTTAATATTTTATTTGAAAAATGTTAATCAAGCATTTCAAAATGTTAAATGTGTATAGAAAGAATGTTGACCATGTATTCAGAAAATGTAATGTTGTATTTAGAAAATATTAATCAAGGATTTTGAAATAAAAAAAATCTTAAATGTGTACAGAAAAATATTGACCATGTTTTCCAAAAATGATAATAATGTATTTTTAAAATGTTAATCAAGAATATGATAAATGGTAAATGGGTATAGAAAGAATGTTGATCATATATTCAGAAAATCTAAACTTGTATTTAAAAAATGTTAATCAAGCATTTGAAAGAAATCTTAACTGTGTATAGAAAAAATATTGACCATGTATTAAAAATTGTTAACCTTGTATTTGAAACATGTTAATCAAGCATTTGAAAATGTTAAATGTGTATGGAAAAATGTTAACCATGTGAATGTAACTGGATAGGTTCTACAAGATGTAGCTTTTGCGACCAAAACGAATCAATCAAACACCTCTTTCTTGATTGTCCGCTGGTAAAAATTATGTGGCGTCGGTTCACATAGCTTTTAATATTATGCCACCGAATTGTATCAACACGTTATTTGGGACGTGGCTCGATGGGATCGATACAGATACAGCGAAACACATTCGTGTAGGCGTTTGTGCTTTATTTTGGGCAGTCTGGAACTGCAGAAATGATATGGTTTTTAACAGAACAACAAACATTCACTTTTTGCAGGTTATCTTCAAGGCCACTGCGTTGATCCGTATGTGGTCGCTACTCACTCCGACGGAGGTCAGGGAACGTTTGGTTACTGCGTCTACCCGATGGGAGATGGTAGCACGGGTTATGTTCAACCTGTTTGAATGACGGTCATGTAATAGGATAGGCATGTAGTGCTCCTATATTTTTATGCCAGCCGGTTGTGGCTTTTGCTTGGCAGTTTTGCTCTTCGTGAGCTTTTGTTTAGTACTTTGTTCGAGACTTGGAGACTTTTGTTGGATCTTTTGCTTATTAATAATATTGGCCGTATGCATCATTCTGATGCAGAGGCCGGGGCAACTCCCTTTTTGAAAAAAAAATGGCGTACGAAAGGGGAGGTCCTTGCGCCCTCAGGTTATTGAATGCAACAAAAGTATGTATTGTGGCTGAAACGAACAATGTCTTTGCTATCTACCTTTTTACACCCTTTCTTAGAATATCCTTCCATGTCATTGTAAATGTTTCGAGCTTCATCTAAAAAATTCCACATGAATGATTTCACAGGGCAACAGAATTTGTATGTGAGCGTGGTGCGGTCGGTGTTGCATTGGCAGCTACTGGTCGGTGGTTTTATCCCTTCCAGGTCTTCCCTCCTCTTTGTGTCCGGCGAGGTTGGTGGCGACTGGATTCCGACAGTACTTTGGCTTGAAGCTTCTCTGGTGTGCTGGTTCGTGAGGACTGAACATGATGACTTCCCGTCCACGGAGATCCCGACTACAGATTAGAAGGTCTTGCCAGCTCGAGGTGGGAGCTGCGGCAGCGCTCCATCAGCCCGCGTTAGTGTTTGTGTTTGGCCGGCTCCCCAGGGACCAATGTGTTATTTCTGTTTTTTGTGGGGTGTTATGTACTGCAGGTTTTCTTCTTAATAGAGAAAAAAAAAGTTGAACGAGTTAATATAGCTAACAGCCACTGGCTAGTACTCCCT